TGATCAACTTTTTTAATATGTTTTTAAATACTTTAAGTTGTGATTTACTCAAGGAAATCCAAGGCAAAGAGAGATTTATCAAATTATTCCCGTTCTTATTTTATGGGCCATATGGAAGAGAAGAAATGTTGTGTTACATGGTGGGAATTTCTCGAGGGGGAAGATGTTTCTAGACATCAACTCTAGCATTTGCAAGTTTGTTTGATTGAGGTTCAACTAGGACTTGAGCACTTCTCACACTCAGGTGCGGCTCAACGTAATTAAGGGCCTAAAGCGAAATTTCAATTGATGCTTAACAAATTTCGTACATATTTATTTTAAAATTTATTTTTCTAACTATTTAGATGCAAATTATTACTTAATTTTTTTATAGATGATTTTTTTTAGTACTTCTTTTTATTTATAATTATTAGTTTTAGGTAAGATTTTATCAATTCAATGTTGAAAAATATTATTTTATTGAAGCAATCATTATATGAATTGTTAACACAATTCTATAAGTAATAAGTTGATAAACTTTAAGCAAAAATGAGTTTTAAAAAATAAATAATGTGAATGTTAGCAAAGAAATGTAATAAAAAATATATACTACATACTTTTTATTATAATTAATTAATTTTTTTAATAAAAAAAAACATAATTTGTTCTTGGTAAAAATTTGAGGCCTTCCAAAATTGGGGGCCTAAGGCATATGCCTTAATTTTTACTAGGCAGAGCCGCCCCTGCTCACACTTGGCCTCAAATAGTTTCTTGGGTAGAAAATTACAGGCCAAGTTATCACCACATGGTGGTTAGATTCCCCACCTTTAGGTTGGTTGAAATGTAATACTGATGGGGTCTCTAGGGGAAATTTTGGTCCGAGTGCTGCTGCTTTATGTATTAGGGATCACTATGGTAACCTGGGAGAGTTGGCAAAATAGCCACTCTCCAAACTTAATTGAGCATTTAGACACAAGTCTTCAAAATTTTAAACTTTTGACACTAAATATGACATCACTCAATATTCTTCCAAAACATATAACACCCTACTCTCAAGTTTTTAATACTACACTTTGGTCCCCACTTATCCAACAAATGTGGAATTGTTTTTTTTTTCATTTATTAAAAACAATTCCACTAGAGAAAAACTCTCCAAGAAGAAACCAAAATGCTCCCATTTTTGTAGCTGATTTAGTCTATTTCGATGACTTTTTCGACGATATTATAGCTTTAACAGGTGAAATCATAATCATTCTAGTCATTGCTTCCATTTTTATACCATTTTCTTTCAAATAGCTTCAAAGAAAAAAATTCCCGCCATTTTAGAAGCTTGAAAAAATCTTCCAAAATCATTTCATAACTCATTTTTAGATAAACTCTAATAGTTTAAAAGGACTATAGATACATGTTTTCCATTTCAGGAGCTTTATCTGAACCCAATCTTGTTCATTCGCATTTTGTACGAATTTTGTACCAGTCATTGACCGCTAATTACTTATATCGTAATCTAGTATCTATTAGTGTAGTCTATATATGACAATAGCTAAAAAAATTGTTGTTGGTGGTGATTATATGGGAGTATGGGAGGAGACTCCCAAAAACTGGTATTGGAAATTTTTTAGTAACACGATAGTGCCCTTTGCGTCGCAATGGTTCATATGACGATATGATTGCAAGCGTAATTGAGGCCGGTGAGTTAGCCTGCGAGCCAAGAAACTTGGTGATAAGCTATAAAATGAATGAGAGGGAAAAAATACATCTCACATTAATGATAGGCATGTGAGCTTGTACATGATGTATATTGTTGCTGATGGTTCTAGGCCTATATTGAGGATAAATGTCATTGCGAAGTCTCCGATTGAATCAACAAATTCTTTTAATAACAACGACTCGGTTGAAAATGAGAACTTGGGTGATCAACCAAATGAGAGCTTTTGTGATCAATCAAATGATAACTTGGGTGATGATTCAATGAGCATGTATGATCATTCAGTGGATGTTGAAGATCAGCTAGAATATGCGAAATATTTCGAACATTTTGAAGAAGTGTGGGGAGAGCAGGAATAGAGATCACAATCTAGCCATTCTTTTTCTGATGGAACTAATTTTTACTTGTATGAAACATTTAGTACCAAGAGTGAGCTACAATTGTTATTAGCCAAAGCAGCGGCTAGAAAATCTTTTGATTTTGCTACAGTGAAGAGTTGTACTAAATACTTAAAGGTGAAATGTGTATCTCATATTTGTGCGTGGATATTGCGAGCAAAGAAATATTAATGTTCGGATAGATTTCGTATCTACAAGTATATTGGCGATCACAGTTGCGGTGTTGAACATGCCATCAACAGCCATAGAAAAATCTTGACCAAATTCATTGCATCGCTTTGTGTGAATCTTTATCGTGATGGCAAGGGTCCAAATGTTAAAGAGTTTCAGAGGATTATTTTAAAAAAAAATTCATTGTTGTCCAAGCTATTGGAAATGTTGGAAGAGAGGTGTGACTGCCAAGGAAATGATTCGAGGGATAGCGGAGCACAACTATTCATGCTTATCGGCTTTTTCATATATGATCGACACTCTTAATATTGGTTCTAGCTATTGTATCATGGTAAGCGAGGATACTCATAGATTTATGTATTACTTCTTAGCTCTTGGTGCTTGCATTAGGGAATTTTCCCACTTGAGAAAGGTAATTGTGGTCGACGACATTCATTTACATGGTAAATACGAGGGAGTATTGCTGAGCCCTGTTACACAAGATACGAAGAATAATGTTTATCCAATTGCCTTTTGTGTCGTGGACAAAGAGAATGATGCATCTTGGACGTTCTTCTTTGAGAAGTTGAAGGATATTGTGGTCGATGAATCATATTTGTGTTTTATTTCTGATAGACATAAGAGCATTACCAATGGTATTGCAAAGTTTTACAATCATGCTCACCACAGATATTGCATGAGGAACCTCGGTAAAAATCTTTGGGTAAATCACCACCGTGGAGATTCCCTCTATCTATACTACAACGTGGCAAAGGCATATTCTTTGGAGAAATTAAACGATCATTTTGCAGAATTCAAGGACAAATCCCTCGAGGCAGCTGTCATCCTTGAACATGAAGTTGGTTTTAAAAAGTGGAGCAGAGCACATTTCCCAAGCAACAGGTATGATGTGATGACCACAAATATTACCGATTCACTCAATGTTATGTTGATAGACGAGAGAGAGTACCTCGTGGCATGCATATTTAATTCGATTGCTAAGACATTTGGAGAATTGTTCAGGGAGAGACATGCACATATCCTTAAATCAAAGGGTAATAAATGGTGCCAGCTGCCGAAAGGATCGCAAGAAAAAAATGATCGAAGGCGACTCTTTGTATGTGGAGAACATATTGGGGATGACAATCAATTCACCGTGTTCGACGCAGGTTCTACTTCCATCATGAACCTACTTTAAAAGTCATGTTCTTGTAGGGAATATGACTTGGTCAAGATACCATGCACTCATGCAATGGCTGCTTTGAGATCGAAGCATGACGATGAGTATGGTACGAGCATCTATGAATATTCTTCGCCTTTATATAAAGCTGAAACATACCTCCTTAGTTACTCTGAATCTATTAATGTTGTCCCTATCGAGTTAGAATGGTGTGTGCCAGAAGAATTTCTAAGCGTGCATATTCTTCTACTCCATGTCGATACCAAGCTTGGAAGGAAGGAAAGAAAACGTGTCAAGGGTGTCAATGAGAATTTCAAGAGCAAGAGGAGGAACACATGTTCAATTTGCAAGATATTCGGTCATAAGAGAACCACATGTATGGACAACAACAAATCTTAGATGGATTTGACTAACTTTGTGTTTTTAATTAAGCTAATGGAGATCTCAAGCTACTGTTTATTTTGGACCCCAACATTTTGGTCAATTTAATGTCAATTATTATCGAATTTACTCATGATATAATATAGATCAATCAAAAGATGACATACATTTTGTACACTGTTTATTAGTGTTTATTATTGAGTCCACTCATTGTGTATTAAGGTGTGTATTATTAATATATGGAAATTTATGATATTTGTAATGCAATGATTTTAATGTATGCATTAGAATGTAATTTTCTCCAAAACATTTATTTTAACATTTTTCCCACTAAAATTATGAATTTTCCTCATGCATGCTATTTTTAATTCCCAAAATCAAACAATGCATAATAAATAACCTATGTATAACTAATTAAACATATAACTAATACAAGTCTTACTTAGATATACGCTTTACCAAACGACACCTTAAAGAATTGTCGAAAAATCAGACGACATAAAAAAAGTAGCAATTTGTACTTTGTAATTGTTGTAAAACTCGGATATCTATTGTCACTGTTGGTCAAAATATATAGATAATTAAGACAGTTGATACCTTTTCATGTGCTTGGTTTAGATTGTACCAACGACATCTACACTTCAACACTAATAAGATATATACTGTTGAGTCAAGACTTGAGACATCAAATTTTCAAGGCATTACCGAATTTCAAATATTAGAAAGGCTTCAAAACTTTGAAGAAAATAGAGATTTGCTATTGACTTTATTCAAGAAGCCGAAGATCAAAGGGATCACTTTAAAGGATTGCTAAAAGACATTGAAATAGATAGGGATCAACTATAACAAAGATTGATATTGGTCGAAGAAAAAGAGAAAGGCCTAAAATTAATATTTTATGATTTGTTGTTACTGGTTGATTTTTGAAAATATGTAACAAAGATGCAGTAGTATAATCTTATATCTTTTACTCATGTAGTAGTACAGTCTATTAATAAAATGAAGTCCTTCTCGTATGGTAAGACAATGTATTATATATACAATTTAAAGTCGATAACTGACAACAATATCCATCAAAACAAAAATAACATTTACATAATCCAACTCTCCTAAATATCAATTCAAAAATCAACTACTTCAACAACCAATTATCTTAAAAGCCGCTTCAAAAACCAACTATCTCAAAAATCAATTGTCTTTAAAATCAACCACCAAAAACTAATTTATCAAAACCAACTGTCTTAATAATCAACCACAAAAAACCAACCATTTCAAAAACCAATTGTATTAAAACCCACATCAATAATCAATTGTCTTAAAATACTAATAATAAAAAATTTCTTACTCATCACCATTGAGTTCCATAACAATAAACATCACGTCCACTGAATTTTCATCACTGCTTCCTTTTCCCTCTTCTGCCATATTAGTAGCCAAGACTTCTTCTACATTCTTTTCCAGTTTCTCATGTTCTTTTTCTTCTTCTTTCTTCTCTTCCAGCTTCTCCTCTTCTTTTTCTTCTTCTTGTTTCTCCTCTTCCACCTTCTCCTCTTCATTTTCTTCTTGTTTCCTCTCTACCAACTTCTCCTCTTTTTTTTCTTCTTCATTTTCTTCCAGTTTCTCCCCTTCTTTTTCTTCTTCTTTTTTTGCCATCTTCTCCTCCTCTTGTTCTTTCTCTTCTTCCTTCATCTCTTCTACAACTTTATTAACTTCTTCTGCAAAGTATTCATCAATAACAACAAGAGCTTCATCGACTATTGCTAATGGAAGGATTTCATCAAACTGCAACACCATATTCATCGACTGTTGGTGCTGTATAGTCTTCATCAACTGCTGCAAGATCAGTGACTTACCATTTTTATAAATAAATTATTTTACACAAATAATATATAAATTAGTCTACCTTTATTTTTCTTGTTCTTTTGAGTTCTCCTCAATTTCTCATCTCGTACAAATGTAACAACTTTCATCATTGATTGTTCAAGGGATGCAACACGCTCACACATATTATCTTCTTTACAATTTCTCGGTATATTTTTCTGTCCACTTGAAACAGAATTCTCAAAGGTTGGTTAGAATTGTTATCACCCAATACTTCATCTTCCTCGTTTTGTACTGTTGAAGTGAGGACAATGACACCTTTCAAATTGGCCTTTAAGGCATCAATGGCCGTGTCCTTCACTTCATCTGCATATGGCTTTAATGTTGCCATGTAATTTTCTTTTGTCTCACGTACAGTAGGTGTAGGTATGGGTGCACAATCTAAAAAAACAATATAAATAGTAAACGACATTCACTAATTTACAAATATTGTTGGATAATAATAAATAAATTTATGCCTTTGTACTTTTTCCTTTGTACTTAAATGGATCACCTTCGATAATATTATAGTTTTTTGCCGTGTGTCATCTAAGTAAACGGGGAATGAACAGAGAAGAATCCAAGGACTTCTTAGCATACTTATCAAGATGAGGAAAAGCCTCATATATCCAAACCTGAAATTAATAAAATAAATAATAAATGAATAGAGGCTGTGAAATGCTATATAAATATATAAGAGTTTATCACAAATCAAGTACATAACTGATAATAAGTACTAGAAATGCCCAGGGAAAGCCATACAGAGCATACAATGCATTCCCTCTTTCATTATACACTTTACTCTGCTTCTTCAAATTGATTTTATTCTTCAAATACAACACTGTTAGATCAAAATACTCTTTTCCCCATGGATAACTCTTGAAGAAATTTAAATCATCCTCCATCTTAATGTGGTTTGAATCCACAATCTAGATCGATCGTGGACAAGCAACATCGAGTGGACGAACCAAAATAAAGAGCACTTCAACTTCTGCTCCTTATTCAATCTGGTACCCTTGATCAAACTCATCGACTTTGTAGTAGTGATGTTCTTATTCTTGATCACCTTATAATGGAATTTCTCACATTTCTGAAGGACTTTTGTCATTTTTGCATCACGGGGGTATGCTGAGCAATTTAGCCCCGTAATGAATGAAGATTTTCTTAAGCCAAAACAAACAGACTTGTCATTCACACAGAACCACATTTCATGTAAAAATTTTTTTATCATTTTTCACATGTTGCAGCAACATATAATGGACCATCTGTCATTGAACTTGAAATATTCTGGAATATGCCTCAAGTGTCCAAAACAAGTACCTTTCAAGTCATTATAAATTTTTTCTTGAACTAAAAGTTTTCTAAGATCACGATAAACAACCATCCTTGCTCTCATAGAAATTTTCGTTGGAAACTATCCTAACTCATCCATCCATGTGGTTAGATTATACGACTTACGAGAGATATCTCTTGCACAAATTAGCAGGGACATAAGATCATCATCCTCATCTCTAGTATCTCAGGTATCTCTACAACTCTCATCATCTTCACTATCAGTTTTTTCTTCACTAGATTCAACATCATCACTACCTGGACACTACTGACCTCATAGTTGTGAATCTCAGCCATTATATCAGAATTCGAGTTAGACTCAGGTTCTTCAACTATAATTTTTTTCTTTTTTGAAGATTTGGAAACTTCTACAGTCTTTCGTTTCTTATTTTTAGAAGCCTTAGGAACAGATCGTTTAACGATGCCGTCTCTAGTTTTAGCCATATTGTACTATATATAAAAATATAATTTTCATATCAAAATATCGACCAGTAGTCTATTAACACAAATAGAGTAATGTTCAAAAAAATATGCAAAACAAGTAGCAGTTCCAACAAGACTCGCCAATTCCATTGACATAAACACCATAAAATCGACCAAAATATAGTAAAAAATTTCAAATTGATAGGCCAGATAAACATAAAAAAAATCAAAAAATTCTACGCATTATCCAAAGCAAAACATCAGTAATGATTCCAAATAAAAAGCATGAACTAAAATGGGTGAGATTTTTAGAACTTTAAGCATATATCTAAATTTCGCTATTGCAATAAAAAAATCAAATAGGCTAAAAGTTATTGAAAACACGATTAAACTTACTTGAGAGGAAGAAGATTGAAAAAGATCCAACTAAACTTGGGAAAGAAGATTGAAAATGATTCAATTGAACTTGGGGAAGAAGATTGATGAAAAAAAGACCCACTCCAGTTTGTTTTTCAGGAACAATTATACGATCTCACTTTTCTTTATGTTTAAAATAATGGAATATGGAAGGTTTGTTGGAGAATGGTCAGTTTTATGGAGGTTGATGATTTCGATAAAACAGGTTTATGAAAGACGAAGAGGCACTTGGAGAAGACGTTCTCTGAGAATGTTCTTAGGTTTCCTCTCAAAATGTTTACAAAATATTATTAAATATTTTTTTTTTATATTCCTTGGGATTGTAATTTAATTTTTTGGAGGGATGAATTTATTTAATGTTAAAGTGTTGGGATGAAAATAATATTTTATATACTTGTATTTTTATCCCCCAAGTTTTTACAGTAATGAAAATGTCCATGACCCCACAACCCAACCCCACTTTTTCACTTTTTCTAACTCTAATCCTAAACATTAAATCAAAAAGAAATCAAGTGTCTATTTCTCAAATTAAGTTTTGAGAGTGAACCCTTTGCCAATTAATCTTTGATAACCTACTGGGAGCAAAAGGGACGAAGATTCAAGATTCCTCTAGCCTGGTAGCAGAAGTTATTGCAATAAAGAAGGATTGAAATACTGTCTAGAGAATCAATATTCTCATATCATAGTGGAATCTGATTCTCTAGCAATGGTAAATATCATTAATGGAGTTTGGGATACACCTTGGAGTGTGACAATGAAGGTCAACTCTATTAATTTGATGTGAAGTTCTATATCTATAACATCCTTAAGGGAACGAAATGCTCTTGCAAATATTTTTGCTAACTGCATGTTTAATTTTGCAAGTACCTTTAAGTTTAAGATTTTTCAAGAGGCCCCATCAGATAGATCAACAAATAGTCATAAAAGCTACTGCAAGACATTCAGTTTACCAGATAGATCAACAAGTATATAGTGAGTTAATTCATTCAAATTTTCAGTCAAAATAAGTAGCTTTACGTGAAAGATGCATAATATACAGGTTGATGCTTATACAGAAGTTGTTCTTGTGTTGGAAAAGAAGTTCTATTGGTTTTAAATGTCACGCACCTAGTGAGAGCATAGAGGTGTTCTAATGATATGAAACCAACACTCAGAAGAACCCGTGTAGAACACCCACCTGAAAAGATTGTGTAACTTCTTCACAAAGCTAGAAAGCACAAAGTCTCTTCTAGCCGCTTGTAATAGGTAGTTACTTGGGTAGGTTTCTCTAACTTCAAAAACTTAAAATTTAGATGGTAGTATTAATTCATATGCAGGATTCAACCCATCAAATCTTAGGCTAGTGAATAGAGAAGCTAATTCGAGAATCTATCAACTATACCTGGCAATTTGAGGACAAACAAAGAAAAATCTCCCTAGCTCAAGTGGGGGTAAAGTTCCAAAATCTCAGCTGCAACTGTACATAACTTGTAAATCTATCTACATTGAATCAATTAACAAACAAAGCATTCAAGACTTTAAAAAAAATTATATATGTTATTACCTTTGTCCCAATTTATATAGTACATGTGAAATTTTGAGAGTTAATCACACTTTAATATGTTTTTCAAATATTTTAAATTGTTAATTCTTGTGATTTATAGTACTCTTAATGTAATCTCAAATAATATATATTTCTCCTTCATTCTCAATTATGCAATATGGGTGAAATTTCGAGAGTTAACCAATTTTTTAATATTCTAACTTAATTTTTAGTACTATTTTATAGATACATAACATATAAAAAATTATCTTATATTAATTGAAATGTGAAAAGATAGTAGCTTGTGTAACACCTCAGTATTAGAAGGAGCTAAATTTAGAAAGAGCTAATTTGAGATTTGTTCAAGTTAAGCTTAAGTTGTGAGTTTTAGGTCAACTTCAAACGGTCATAACTTTCAGTACATGATAATTTAGGTGGCCCATAAGATATCAAATGAAAGATATTGGAATCCTCTTTCCAACGTTATCGTGTTTTCTAAATTTTGAATTTGGATGAGGGAGATATGCCCGTTTGAAGTCAGTCTGTCCAATTAATTAAAGTTACCGGAAATAATGAGAGGTACTTTTGTCTTTTCCTTACCCCATTAGATCTAAACGTTTTTAGTAATATTTTACGGGTCTAAATTGATTTGGGTCAGTTTTTACAACTTTAAATTATGCTTAGGGTTTTGAGATGAGTTCAAGGCGTTTGTCAAGATTCTTGAGATTTATCAAGAAATTTTGCCAAATTAAGGTATGTAAGTTTTCATAGTGTTGGGTTCGTTCACCCACATGTCAATCATGTAAATTTCATCCGTAATTTTGTTCTAAAGTTTGAATGATTTGAATTCTTAATGGGTGTTCTTGAGGTTTTGTTCTTCATGCTTTGTTTATGGAGTTTGATGAATTCTTGAGGTGAAGATTTCGATCTTCGAGGGTTGTTCTTAAGGAAAAGTGAGTAGGTTCTTGTGTACTTGTATTGGGTAAATGAATCTAAGGAAAATTTGAGGAAAACAATCGATTCTAGGAGAATTAGGGTAAAAAAACGAGAAGAAAAATTCGTCGGGTCGTTTTGGGGGAGGGGTGGCGCGACGCGCCACTGATGCACCAGGAGGGCGGGCGCGGCGACCTTGCAGTGCACCAAGATGAGCTCTCTGAAGTTCAGGGGCTGGTGCCCCGCGCCACTTAGTGCGCAAGGGTCACCTGCCCTCGTCGTTATTCCATCGTTTGACCCGTCTGAGTTCTTTTAAGGTGTACCTTTACTCCTTTATGATTCTAACTACTCTAAACTACATCTAAACATCGAGAGATCCTTCATAACATGAATCATAACCCTTGAATTCATAATTCAAATTCAAATTCAAGGTAGAGTTAAGAGTTAAGTCTTTAGAGTTCTTTCGAGTCATTTTGAGATGTCTTTTACAATCTTTTAAAACTTGTTTTAAGACTTGAGTACTTGAGTATGAGAATGAGGAGAGTTGAGTTTCATTTTTCAAAATGAATATATGGGAACTAAGTATTCCCAAGAGTAAATGTTTTTTACATTTAAAATGAGAGGAAACATCGATTTCCAAATGAGTTCATGAGGAATTTTTTAGTATCATCTCTTTTAAGAGAACGTTTTGAGTAATAATATCAAAGTTTGAGGTTGAGGAAATGTTTTCAAACATATGAGTTGAGTTATATTATTGGGAGTGGTATTAAGCAACGATATGGGGACGAGTTCAAACAACTCAAAGTCCTCCTAAACCATGTAGCCAACGTGGGTAGAAAGGATCATACTTTTTAGATGATTCCTTATTGATTTTTAAGCATAGCTTAGTGGATCCACTTAATTAAGAATGTCTTATATTCCGGATAAAGTATAGGACAATTCTGACAGTGTTGACAAGACGATGTATCATCACATAGCTCATAGTGATGGTTGTCGGTTAGAGAATCTCCCAAATTGAATAAAATAAACCAACACACCATTGATTAGGCTCTTGAAAACCTAGCACAAACAGTTGAAAATTGTATACATCCACTGCCGCATCACACACTTGACACTCGTACATGAGATAATTATTTTAAACATAGAAAAGTACAAATACAGAAAAACAACTACTATATATTAAGAGCTTTTGACTTTAGATTCTCCTTCACAAACAAAAGTTCCATCGGTACTGAAATAGTTGCAACCCTTTTTGCCTGCGCAACAATTGGTGCATATTCTACCTTTACTCCTTTTATTTCCTGGACATATCGAGTACGCTATTCTTGGATTACAATTAAAGGGACAAACTTTATTTGTTTCGTCTATAGTCTTTTTCGTCTGTCCTTCACAAATGAATGTTCCGTTAGCACTGAAATAGTTGCAACCTTCAGTGCCTGAGCAACAGTTTGTGCATCCAACTTTAAACTTCTTATTTCCAGATTTTGGGCATCTCCCATACTGAATAATTGGATTACAGTTACGTGGACAAGCAGGCTCTGCATCCACTTGGCTTAAAAGTAAAATAGTTCCAGCAAAAATGGCTGAATAAATAAATAAAGTCATTAGCAAATATGTTTAAGGGTTTAATGTAGAATTACCATAGATGATAAGAAATTTAAAGACTTACCAAACAAAATGAGGAGGGCAACTTTGTTAAAGGCCATACTTTCTTGTGTTTATTACCTTCAACTTGTTATATTTGAGTGAGGAGTGCGTTATCCTCTCCACCTATTTATAGCAAATTAACTCATCTACAAGGAGTAGTTTGGTTGGAAACAAATTATTTTGGAATTAATTGTTTCTGGATATGTTATCTCATTATGTGTATGAGATAACTTATTTCATCATTATAATAAAAATGGTAGAATAAATAAACCAAAAACTATCTAATACCTCCAACCAAACACATGATAAAAGCATTTTGTATTTTATTACGAAATTATTATACCTTATATATACCTCACATCAAACGATCTTATAGGTAAACTTACGCATTGATAGTGTCAATTTTTTTATACCATGTTGTAATAGATAACATGTGATGGTAACAAGAGATGCTTGATGGTGTTTGTGAGATACTCAGTTTGTTTGATTTACTTTTCTCTTT